CCCCCCCGGGTAAACTCGCGTCGTTGGTTCGTCCTACGAAAACAGCCGCAAAGGTCGTCTTTTTTTTTCCCCCCTTCAAGATACAAGAAGGTCTGGATTTAACACCCACAGCCCACAGGTTATTTTCAGCCGACCTTCCCTCGCGACAGGAAGTGTGCCCGGCAAGAGTTTCTGTCTTCTCGGAAACCGCTCGTCAATGCCATATGTTACGTTCTAAACGAGTCCTGTAATTCGTACGACAGCACGCGAGTGTCGCGCGAGAAAACTAACGCCGGGAGGACTAACTTAGTCGTTTCCGTGGCTTGTTTGGAGTAACGAGCGTTGCGAGGTAGTCTGTCTCTCGAGATCTCTCCTTCATTTCCGGACACGTTGTTCTTCCCGTCGGAGCCCGTTGTCGGTGTTCTCGTAACGCCTCTCGATAAATAATTGAAGGGGAATCGTGAAAGTGCGATACGAACGAGGGACTCGACGTGGTGCGCGCGTTTAGCTGATACATTTTATCCTTGAGACGTTCGTCCTTTAAACGCAACGAACTTCCGAATTTCGGTAAGTAATTTCGATGCTGGATCGACCCGTAAGAAGTATTGTCGTTTGGGACGTTTCGTCTTGTAGACATTCAGGAGTTTTCTTCAACTGTAAGACATACAATACTGAAGTTCTGCACAAATATTTATTTGTGCTTTAACCGCGTACTGTAATTTTTACACGTTGTTATTTTTAATGTTAATATGGAAAATAATGTGTAGAGATTATGTAGTTTATTCGATATTAATGAAGTTATCAATAATTTCGTTAGCGTTGTTAGCGTAAAACGACTGACCGAAAATCGGCCTTTCCCTTTTAAGTCTCTTTTAAGACGTGTCATTTTGTCAAAAATCAATTTTGATTCTGCATCGTGCTAGAGACCAATTTTGACGCTAAAACAGGGAAAACGGAAATTTAAGACTCCATCAGGATCAAAATAAGGATATATTATATCATTAGAATTGAAACTGAACCTACTCTGCTACCTCAACTCCTACCGTGTTGCAGAATTGAAGGTTTTTAACAGATTTTTAACACGCAGTGCCAAAATTTCGAATGAAATTTCGGCGAAAGGAAATCTATTATTTTGCATACATATTTACATCGACAGGCAGAGCATTTCGTGGCGCTTTACGGGGCATTCGCCACTTTACGAGCGATGGAAAAGGCACGTTCTCAAACGGGTAATTGCGTCCACAGTATTTCCGAATTATCATTCATAAATGTCAGACAAACAGTTTCGCTCCATTCGTAAATCCGATATAATTCTCATTCTCCGCGACGCTAACAAATCAATTATATGCACACAATCGCTTTCATCACGATTCGGCTCTTCAGCTCTCTACGAGCTTCGCATTGTAACTTCACGCGCGTCTGCGTAAACAAAATACATATTTTACCAGTACATTATAACTTATCGAGCGCGCGTCTCTCTTTTAAACCCACATCACCATCGAGGCGCACCGTCGCGCTTTTACAAGTGAGTTACACCGAGATCCCCCTTATTTATTAACGCGGAGCGTTATATCCGGGATTCACGGGATTATTTATACATCGACCGTCCGTCGTTGCTGTCGCTCGGCGTGACGAATAAAATAAGCGCGCTTCGTGGAGCACGCGCTCCGTGGGAGCGGGATAACGGCCTTGCGCCGGGAACATTAATTCGCGGCATATTTACACTGTCAGGACATCGTCTCCGCGCGCGTACCATCGACGGTGATTCCCCAATAATGGGAGCCCGATTAGGCACGCTACATTAGGCACTCTCCGCTTTCTACGCTCCATCAACGGTGAATATGCGCCTGCATTCGCGAGAGATCAACCGGGGGTGCGCCTGGGAAGCCGGAAACCCCGGCATACGCACGCACGGGTGGAAAAAAAGAATGAAAAGGAAAGAGAGAGAGAGAAAGAGAGAGAGAGATATATATACATATATATATAGTATACATAAATATACGAGTATATATATATAAACGAGTATATATATATATATATATATATATAGTATATATATATATACTCGTTTTCAAATCTGCGATTTCTGAGGTGGAATTTCGGGAATTTTGGATTTTTGTATCAGGAACATATAATAACTGAAGTGGTAGCAGGAGTAAAGTCGTGTCACTTTCTCGATCTTTATGTCCTCCTAAGACAAATCTACGATTTCTGAGGTAGAATTTCGGCAATTTTGGATTTTTGTATGAGGAACATTTAATAACTGAAGAGGTAGCAGGAGTAAAGTTGCGTCACTTTCTCGATCCTTATGTTCTCCTAAGACAAATCTGCGATTTTTGGGGTGGAATTTCGGGAATTTTGAAATTTTT